GAACCACCAGCCTTCTGGTTAGCAGTCAAATGCCTTAGGCAATATACTACCAGCACTCCTAACCACAGGCATGGATGCTAAATTTGTAATACATCATAAAATGGAGAAGTATAGTTAGAAGGAGCTCTGGTGGCACAGTGGTTCAGGCATTCAGTTGCTAACCAAAAGGTCAGCTGTTCAAACCCACCAGCCACTCCCAGGGAGAAAGACGAGTCAGTCACTTCTGTAAAGATTTACAGTCTTGGAAACCTTATAGGGCAGTTCTATTCTGCCCGAAAGGGTTGCTGAGTTGCAATCGACTTGATGGTAGTGAGTATTATAGCTAGAAGGATTACATTTAAGTAATTTGCTGCAAATGCAAGCATATAGGTGTTTTTTTTTCCCCCTAGTGCTAATCATGTTTTTTTTTTTTTTAATGATTATATTTAGGCATGTTTTTTAAAAGGTGAATTTTCTCTTCAGCATGGTTGCTCTATAGTGATCATAATCACAGGGCACAATTTGCACTGGAGGTAGAGCATGTAGTACTTTCATAACTAAAACTTCTCAACATGGGTTGACCATGCTGAGATAACTGTTAATAGTGAAGAATGTGGTTGCTACGGAATTCACTATAGACATAGTTACAACTAATTTATGGCCAAGCATTATACTGTATTTAGCAAGTGTGGGTCATAGTTTTCCAGCTAGGATGAAGACAATCTTTTCCTACCATGGAGGGTACTGTGGACAGTCAAGGTGCTCCATGTGGCAGCAGACTCACTAATCTTGCCCAATGCACCCAGAAGTGGGTGGCATCTAATGGAGTGTGAGGCCAAGGCCATCACAAATAGTACGAGCTCTACAAACAACAACAGTAGCCTCAGGTACAAGGGCATGTCCAGCATAGATACAGATAGGATCCAAATGGCTTTGAGCCTCACAGCCCTGAAAGTCATATTGTTGTTGTTAGGTGCCGTCAAGTCATCTCCGACTCACAGCGGCCCTGCAAAACGAAACACTGTCCGGTCCTGCACCAACTCCATGATCCTTGATATACTTGAGCCCATCACTGCAGCCACTGTGTCAATCCATCTCGTTGAGGTCCTTCCCCTCTTTTGTTGATCCTTCTTCACCTTACTCAGCATGACATCCTTCTCCAGGGAATGGTCTCTTCTGACAAGAAAGTCGTATTTGCATTAAAAAAGCATCACTGTAGGAACTGCCATCATCTAACACAATGGGCAAGGACATAAAATATCTTTTACAAACATTTATTATTCTTTTGAAGGGTCTGGTAAGCAGAACATAAAGATGTAAGATAATAGCCCTGTGATCTCTTCCTGACTATAGCATTGTACAAGTCCCCTGCCCAGCAGGTCCAGATGTTTCCTCATTTTTGACAAGATGATAAAATAGCTTCTACCAAAGCCTCTGAACTGGCCATTCTGAGATCAATGTCAAATCTTATTACCGTGGTTCTAAAAATAGCTAGAATAGTAAATCATACAAAAATCTCCAAATTTATATTTTTAATATAAAAACAATATAATAACAGCATGAAATGAAAGATTTTAACTGTTTTCATTGTCAGCCTAAATTTCTTTTTAATGAGTAGTTTAATCTCTCATTTCCCTTGAGCCATTAAATCCACGCTTTCCCCTTATTCCTCCCTTTTCCCACCTGCATCCTGTGTGAGAGAGAATCAATAGAACTTGAAATCCTAACACCAGTAGGAAACAGAAAACTAGCCAAAAGCAGGCAAAAGAGAATGAAAGGCCTAATTACAGTTCTGGATAAATATAAATGATATAAATACTCCTATTTTACAGTCTGCTCATGTACAGGTTTAGTATTTCATTCTGATACCGAATTTGTAAACCATGTCAGTCCCCACCATTTACCTGACAGGAAGCAGGCCCAGGCAAATTCTTCTGTAACAAAGGCTAGCTCAGTGTTGCATATAGTCATGCTGCTATAAGAGAATATGGTCACCTTCATATAAGGGAGAGTTGAGGGCACTGGGATAAAAATTGTTATTTCTGAAAGTTGGAGGTTAAAAATAGTGTATAACTAAAGTCAATCTCAAGCTAAATGTTCCATTTGGGCTTTCCTGTCTACTGGCTAAATTACCATCCCAAATCTTTAAAAACCTTAGCTGAAAAGTTAAAGAGCTAAACATTATTAAGTGGCAACTGTCACACAAAGGGTCATCCCTTCCAGCATCCTGATCTCTTAAAAAGGAAAATATGCAATCTTTTTCTCATCTGATTCCAGAAGGCTTCCTGGACTCTCACCCCTTTCACTGGTCTAGATATTTACTGTGTACTACCAAAAAAAAAAAAAAAAAAAAGTTCAAACATTTGTTTAACGTTTATTTTCTTTTAATTTCTATTTATATTCTGTTTTCCAAAGTTTCACCCAGGTCTAAAAAAAGAACTTTCAATAACTAATAGCTTGACACAATGTCAGCTATTTAAGATTTCAGATATGTCATCCTTTGCTTTTCGCCGCCTTCTTGCATTTGGGAGAGAGAGAATAAGTTAAACTCAATTTTAAAATGCTGTAATTCTTTTTGAATCATGATTACAGCAACACTGAGAGGAGAGAGGTTATATAAAGGAAAGAAGTGGTTATAATGATAGAATTCAGGCTTAAGCTGATGAAGCTCATAAGGGCCAGAGCTTCTAAGAACAGTCCTGAAAATTAGGCCAAGGCCTTTGCTCCTTATCAACATGAAACTACAGAAAGCTGCAATTGTCTTTCAGACTTATTCTAAAGTTGGCTTTTGGCTTAGCTGGACTGTTTCTAAATAGACTGAAGAACAGAAGGCTTGTTGCTCAAGCAAGGACAATTTCTACAAGGACTGATTCAGGTTGAGGATTATTTTTATTTTGCCCCACATTTCTTGAACTCAAAACAAAGTGGTTTTAACATAGGGTCATAGAGGTAAAAAACCTATAGGTCTCTGTTGAGACCCTTATACCAGCTCTCTCCTTTCCTCACAGGACTGTCAGGGGCTCATACCACTTCTCCTGCACCACCCTCAAGGAGGAGTACTGGTTTATGTAAGTATCCCTTGCAAAAATTTACAAAACAACCTAGTCCCAGAAAATATAATATCCAATTACTATACTTTCTTAGAGGGAATACCAATTGATGCAACTCTTCTGGAGAGCAATTTGACAATGTATATCAAAGTCTTAAAAAATATGTACACTTCACTTCCACGAATTTAAGAGATGTCAACTTATCTCCCAGTTCCAGTCTTTTTCTGTTAGGTTTATGGGCCATTTAACTGTCCTTCATGTGTTTCTGCAATTTCACAACAGACTATAACAAACATATACTCCTTTTGTAGTAATAATTTAAAAAATCACTAGTAAATATCAAACACACACAAACATTCTGTCCACAACCACTCGCATATAGGAGTTTTGAGTGTTAAATATGAGCGACCACCTTCAACAACTGATTTCTTTATTCTGGAAAACTCAATATACATTAAAATAGTTTTTACAATTACCTAGAGTTTGGGGATATAATAAAAATAATGCTTTCAAAAGCCTACACCTACTTTTGTGACTATTACTTTTATAGGGTGGCCTAAAAAGAGCTTCAAATGACCATAATTTCCTCTCCCTGCGGCCCATGGGGTGGTTCTTCATGCTTCCATTGATTTTCATGGGATATGTGAATCAATACTAATGTGGTAACTAGAGTTATTTCTTCCAAGGACATCTGGAATCCCATTATCTGATGAGATATTCTTTTCCTCCATTTTACAGCTGGAGACATTATCTAAATTCTCCTGAATCACATGGCGGTAGCCCTGGGAACAGAAAGCAAGTTTTAATAGTTCTTTGGTCAAACCACATGCCTTTTCTGAATCTATTTGCAGCATTTCAAGATGTTTTCTGAAGGGCCCACAGGGGCTACATTTAAAACCTTTTGGCCATTGTTTGCTAACTGCTGGGATGGTTTTAATCAAAGAGGAAGCCAGTATTTTCAGCTTGGGTGTGTTGGAAGAGTTCCTAAAATGTCTCCAAACTGATTTAGGAGAAACTGCTTAACAGAAGAGGTCTTTTTCCTGCCCTGGAAAAGCTTATTAGAACTGACACAAGCTGTAACCTCAGACCAAAAAAACCACATTTTTTTGAACATATTACATCCCAAAGGCAGCTGGTTTCTAAATGTTATCAGTTATCAATGACAAAACCTGTTCAACAAGGACCACAACATCAATTTATTACAGTCTCCTCCTCTTGGAATACTCTCGGTGTTTGTTGTATCTTCTCTACTAGAACCTAGTTTTTCTTGAAAAGGTTTTATTTGATGACTCAGGTAACATTTTCTGAGGTAAAAAGACCATATCATCTCAGAAAACATTTCCAACCACTCATAATTCTGACAGGAGGCATGTGAAAGGAGTGTCTTTGATGAGGCCAGTTCAGTTATAGGTTCCAGAAAAACCTAGCTCTCAGTAGTTCAGATTGAACCAGAACTACCCCCTCCCAAGTCAGAACTATTCCGAGTGCCTGAGTCAGTCCCACAAGCATCTCACATTTTCCTGCTCAGGTAAACTTTGTCTAGATTAGGCTGACTCCTCTACTCCACACAGGGCACTCTAGGTCAGCCCTCACTTTACATGGCTAAAATATTTTCTTCCTTTCCTAATTCTTGCATGATTTATCATGTATAAATTCCTAAGATCCCACTCAGGAACAAATCATCATAGCAAGGGTTTCCAAAGTTGTGGTTCTGAACCCATTGCATCAGAGCCATTTGACCTGCTTGTTAAAAGAACAAATTCCTGGAACTCACCCTAGTCCTAATGAACCAGTCTCTGAGGATAAAGCCCTAAGAGTCTGCTTTTTTTTTTTTTTTTTTTTTTTTTTTTTTTTTTAAGGTTTTACAACTGCCTGTGGCGATTCTTATACATGGTAAAGTATGAAAACCCCTGTATTGGACCAACTGTAAGAGTGAATGAAAAGGAGAGAGAAAGAAATCCCAGCAAGCACAGGCAGGCAAGATTTTAATTTGAGGATTTAATACCCATGGAGAAACAGGATGAAAAGGTCAGTGGAGAGGAATCACAGACGCCTTTGTTTAACAATGCTTCCTGACACCACCTTCAGTTAGGCTGGCTGCATCAGTGTGCTGATACTTTCTTCTACTTCTGACAGCTTCTTCAGGATTTGGTTGACCTTGACCTCATCCAATTCCAAACACAGAAATTCAGATTCCTGGAAAACATGAAAGGATGTTTTAGAGGGGACCCCCAGGAAAGCCAAGGCTCTGCATCTGGCATGGCCCAGGGATCCTACTCACCAAGGCTGGCTCAGAACTCAACTCCCCAAATGCATCCTTGATATTTTACCCAACAAAGCAGCTTCACAAAATGCCTTAAATGAAACCATTTTTATGATGGTACCCTAAAGAGTAACAAACTCCAAAACAAACTCACTGCCATTGAGTTGATTCTGGCTCACAGCAGCCTCCGTTAGGTTTACAAGGCTGTAACTCTTTATGTAAGCAGACTGCCTCATCTTTCTTCCATGGAGCAGCTGGTGGGTTTCAACCACTGACCGTTTGGTTAGCAGACAAATGGCTTAACCACTACACCACCAGAGCTCTTTCATAAAGAGTAAAATTCATTGCAACTGAATCAATTCCAACTAATAGCAACCCCCATTGAATTTCTAAGGTATGTCTTTACGGAAGCAGATTGCCTCATCTTTCTTCTGTGGAGTAGCAGAAGGTGTACAAATGCCAGGTGTTCCCATTGTGAAGATGTGGGAAACTCTTCACATTTGTCATCCCACATGCTCTTATAATAATATTTTTAATCTTTTTAAAATAATATTTTTTATGTTTAAGGTGAAAGTTTACAAATTAAGTTCCCATTTAACAATCTCTACACAAATTATTCAGTGATATTGGTTACATTTTTCACAATGTGTCATCATGCTCACTCACTGCACTCTGGTTATAGCATTTCAGATGCTGAAATAATTTTAAAGATAAATACTTAAGCCTTTTTATAGAAGAAGGAAGACTGATGCACAGAGATGTTAACCTGTATCACAAAATCAGAAAAAGGAAGAGATAGATTATGAAATCCCAGTTCTGGCTCACTCCAAAGCTCATGCTGTCTCCACAGAACCCTTAAGTAAAGTGATAGAATGAAGATTTGGTTTGGTTTTACGATAGCCTGGGAAATGGGCTAACTCAAAGTTACTTAGCCAGAGATTGTGACAAACTGTGTGACAAGATGCTTGGGATATAGCAACCTGAAGATACTAAATAATGATCCTGAGACAACAACAAATATTTCTAGGGCCTTTTCACTAGCTGCAAACCACCTTCTCACAATTTTTAAAAACATTCCCTTCGATCACTGTTTTCCTGTTGTGTACTGTAGTCAATCAATCCTATATTAGGTAGACATCAAAGAATAAAGATTTTGAGTTTGGTGGCAGAACTTCCATGTAAACTGGAGAGAAATCTTTAGAGATCCAAGGGCAAATTATACATATCCAAACTATAGTCGAGATCCTCAAGAATATTAAACAATTTTAGAGCAATATGCCACCATATGTCTGTCACTTTGCTGTACTGTGGTGCCTTGAGTGTTGCGTGAGGATATGCCACCAGTATTTCAAATACCTTCAAATACCCATGGTGGACAAGTTTCAGTGGCGCTCTCAGACTAAGACAGACTCAGAAGAAGGAAGGGGCCATCCAATTCTCAAAAGAATTGGCCAGTGAAAACCTTATGAATAACAGTGAAACACTGTCTATTGCTGGAAAACTTTATGAATAACCCTGAAATTGTCCAACATAGTGCAAGAGGATGAGCCCCTCAGGTTTGAAGTGGTCAAAATACAACTAGGGAAGAGCTGCCTCCTCAGAGTAGAGTTGACCTCACTGAAGTGGATGAAGTAAAGCTTTCAAGACCTCCATTTGCTGGTATGGCACGACTCAAAATGAGAAGAAACAACTGTAAACATCCATTAATAATCGGAACATGGAAGGTCTGAAGTATGAATCTAGGAAAATTGGAAGTTCTCGAAAATGAAACAGAACACATAAAGATTGAAATCCTAGGCATTAGTGAGCTAAAATGGATTGCTTTTAGGCATTTTAAATCATACAACCATATGATCTACTATGCCAGGAATGACAAACTGAAGAGGAATAACATGGCATTCACTGTCACAAAGAATGTTTCAAGATCTATCTTGAAGTACAGTGCTGTCAGTGATAGATAATATACATATGCTTACATTGAAGACCAGTTAATGCTACTATTATTCAAATTTACACACCAACCACCAATGGCAAAGATGAGGAACTTGAAGATTTTTACCAACTTCTGCAATGTGAAATTGACCAAATGTGCAATTAAGATGTGTTGATGATTACTGGTGACTGGAATACAAAAGCTGTAAACAAAGAAGAATCACTGGTAGTTGGAAAATATGGCTTTGGTGATAGAAATAAAGCTGGAGATTGCATGATAGAATTTTGCAAGACCAATGACTTATTCATTTGCAAGCACCTGTTTTCAACAATATAAACAGTGGCTATACATGTGGACTTTGCCAGATGTAGTACACAGGAATCAGACTGACTACATCTGTGGCAAGAGGGATGGAGAAGCTCAAAATCTTCAGCCAAAACAAGGCCAGGAGCTGATTGTGGAACAGGCCATCAACTGCTCATATGCAAGTTCAACTTGAAGCTGAAAACAATTTTAAAAAATCCATGAGAGTCAAAATAACCTCCTGACTTTAGAGACCATCTAAAGAACAGATTTCATGCACTGAACATTAATGACCAAAAACTACAGGAATTGTGGGATGACATCAAGAACATCATCCATGAAGAAAGCAAAAGGTCATTAAAAAGACAGGAAAGGAAGAAAAGACCACAATGGATGTCAGAAGAGACTCTGAAACTTGCTCTTGAATGGAAAGTAGCTAAAGCAAATGGAAGAAATGACAAGATAAAAGAGCTGAACAGAAGATTTCAAAGAGCAGCTCAAGAAGACAAAGTCAATTATTATAATGAAATGTGCAAAGACCTGGAGTTAGAAAACCAAAAGGGAAGAATACGCTCCGTATTTCTCATGCTGAAAGAAATGAGGAAAATATTCAAGCCTCGAGTTGCAATATTGAAAGATTATATGGGCAAAATATTGAATAAAAAGCAGGAAATATAAAAAGAACATGGAAGGAATACACAGAGTCACTGTACCAAAAAGAACTGGTCGATGTTCATCCATTTCAGCAGGTGCCATATGATCAAAAATGAGTGGTATTGAAGGAACAAGTCAAAGATGCACTGAAGAAATTGGCAAAAAACAAGGTTCCAGGAATTGATGGAATACCCATTGAGATGTTTCAATAAAGATATGTGGCTCTGAAGGCACTCATTTGTCTATGCCAAGAAATTTGGAAGACAACTACCTGGCCAACTGACTGGAAGAGATACATATTTGTACCCATTCTGAAGAAAGGTGATCCCACAGAATGTGGAAATTATTGAACAATATCATTAATATCACATGCAAGTAAAATTTTGTTGAATATAATTCAAAAACGGCTGCAGCAGTATATTGACAGAGAACTTCCAGAAATGCAAGGTGGATTCAGAAGAGGACGTGGAATGAGGGATATTATTGTTGATGTCAGATGGATTGTGGCTGAAAGAAAGCAAAGAATGCTGTAAAGATGTCTACTTGAGTTTTACTGATTATGCAAAACCATTCAATTTTGTGGATCATAACAAATTATGAGTAATACTGAGAAGAATGGGAATTCCAGAACACTTAATTGTGCTCATGAAGAACCTATACATAGACAAGGAAGCTGTTGTTCGAACAGAACAAAGAGAGACCACATGGTTTAAAATCAGGAAGGGAGCGCATCAGGGTTGTATCTTTTCACTGTACTTATTTATTCTGTATGCTGAGCAAATAATGGGAGTAGCTGGACTATGTGAAGAACAGCATGGAATCAGGATTGGAGGAAACTTGTTAACAATCTGCAGTATGCAGAGGAGATAATATTGCTTGCTGAAAATGAAGATGACTTGAAGCAGTTACTGATGAAGATTAAAGACTACAGTCTGCAGTATGGATTACACCTCAACAGAAAGAAAATGAAAATCCTCACAACTAGACCAATAAGCAGCATCACAATAAATGGAGAAAAGATGGAAGTTGTCAAAGACTTTATATTACTTGGTTCCACAATCAACACCAATGGAAGCAATAGTCAAGACATCAGATGATGTATTGCACTGGGCAAATCTGCTGCAAAAGACCTGTTTAAAGTGCTGAAGAGCAAAGATGTCTCTTTGAAGACTAATGTGTGCCTAAGCCAAACTATGGTATTTCCAGTCACCTCATATACATGTAAAAGCTGGAGAAAGGATAAGGAAGACTGAAGAAGAGTTGATGCTTTTGAGTTGTGGTACTGGTGAAAAATACTGAAAGTACCATGGACTGCCAGAAGAACTAACAAATCTGTCCTGGAAGAAGGGTAGCTGGAATGCTCTTTGGAAGCAAGGACGGCCAGACTTTGTCTCACCTATTTTGGTCATATTGTCAGAAGGGACCACTGCCTGGAGAAGGATATCATGCTTGGTAAAGTAGAGGGTCAGCAAAAAAGGGGAAGACCCTCAGCAAGATGGACTGACACAGTGGCTGCAACGATGGGTTCAGGTATAGCAAGGATTGTGAGGGTGGCACAGGACCAGACAGTGTTTCATTCTGTTATTATGAGTTGGAGCCAACTTGACAGCACCTAACAACAACTACAGCAACAGAGCAGTACGGTGACAGAAATGACACCAGAGTTGCATGATAGAATTTTGCAAGACTAATGACTTATTCCTTGCAAATACATTTTTTCAACAATATAAACAGTGACTATACATGTAGACCATGCCAGATGGAATACACAGGAATCAAATTAATTACATCTGTGGAAAGAGGCGATGGAGAAGCTCAATATTCTTAGAACAAGGCCAGGAGCTGACTGTGGAACAGACCATCAGTTGCTCATATGTAAATTCAAGTTGAAGCTGAAGAAAAAACAAGTCCATGAGAACTAAAGTACAACATTGATTATATCCCACCTGAATTTAGAAACTATCTGAAGAACATATTTGACACACTGAACACCAATGACCGAACACCAGATGAGTTGTGGGAAGACATCCAGAACATCATATG